GTTTTTAAATTCTTGTGTTTATATTCAACTTGTTACCTATACATTTGATGAATTTCTAATGTGATCTTATTCAGTATTTCATTAGTGCAATAATAGATGACGTTGTCTTAGAAGTTTCATCTTAAAAGCTTTAGAACATTACTTTCTGTTTAGCTGTGAGTGCTTCCTTGCAGGCTGAGCTGTACATACCCATAGTCTGTTTGAGTTCCTGCTTGAGCCTTCTCATTTCTGCTTCTACTTCATCTTACAAAATTGCAAACATACTTTAACATGAGTTCTCTGCAGTCGGTAAGTGATAAATATCAAGGAAGTACTCTTACAAGAATTCTCTACACTTAGCTAGAATGTGGTATGCCTAAGAAGCACTGGCTCGAACACGAAACTGACTTGTGATTTTGAAAAGGTAAGATATGGACAGACATGTTGATATATATATTTTTCAAAATGTTGATAGGATACATGGCATGTAGGACACTTTCCCAAGGATCCTAAAGTATCCCTCGTACCTCGAAAATTTTAAAAAATATATATATAAAAATTAAGACATGACGAATGGCGTGTCGAACACGTGTCCATGAGTGTCCGATAGAGTCGGTGTTCGATATGACTCGACTCGTGGTTGACATGGACACGTTGCCCTAGTAACAGTTTTCCTGCTTCATAGCTATCTGTAGACTACAGTTATCATGTTTTCAAGCATTGCAACTTTTCAAGACCATTCAGTTCCTCGGGAAACATTAGATAGTTGGGAGGAGATAGCTTGTAATTTATTCTAACATGTAGATGAAGCAAGAAATGAGTGATGCAATTGTCAACACATTATTATTGAAAGCTTTTGCATTGTATNATTATTGAAAGCTTTTGCATTGTATTTGGACTTTTAAGGCCCCAAGATTAACTATGTAGTGAATGAAGCAAGCTAATGATCTACACAAATTCTGATGATATTAATGATTTTTATGCTTTTATATTATCTTCATTTTAAAAATTTCATGTTAGGGGTCTTTACGAGCTTACCAAATTTTGGGTCCTGACGACGAAAAAATTCCATTGTCTTGTGAGTTGGATGAGAAGATTCCAAAACTCTTTGCATCAGATGACCTGGCTCCAGAGAACGGAGATCCAAAACTTAATTGATCTTTTTCGGAGATGCTTGACAAACGGGAGCCAAAGTTCATATCGTGGTTATCAAATGATGGGAATATACGATCAGTGCTTGGTCAACCTGAGCTCACAAATGATATATTAGAATCTGGGATCGTGCATTCTCCATATGACCTGATTGAAGTTTTGCCTCTAGTAAATGCGTAGGAAATTTTAGGCCAATTCCCTTTTCAATTAGCCCGCAGGATCTTTTGTTGTTGGGAGGAGATAGCTTGTAATTTATTCTAACATGTAGATGTAGCAAGAAATGAGTGATGCAATTGTCAACACATAATTATTGAAAGCTTTTGCATTGTAT